GGCCCCTAGCCTGAGATCATCCACACATTTGAACAGCCCTCTAGTCTGATGCCGAGCCTAACCAGCTAAGTGTCAGTTATTCGACTGGTCAATCTGCATCCCAAACTGTCTGCTATCTTAGGAGGAGAAGAGCCTTGAAAAATTCGTGCAACTAATCACGACTTTTGGAAACTCGGCTCTGATTGGGTTAGTACAGCTGGACAATTATGTTTAGAACACCCATGCATATACACTGCTTCCTGAACTAATTGCTGAGTTTGGCAATTTTGTCACCACACGTCAGTGCGCATCCTGCTTCTTATCGAAGATGCCACCTCGACTGATAGCGGAACATATGCAACAAAACTGTCAAACTCAACGAACAATCCACGAGCATCTGACATTCGTTATATCCCTGTGTGCTGTTCGTCAGTCTCAAGCGAGCGAAGGTTGGTTTTTGCCATCTAGACCCTCGAAGTCAGCCTGCTAAAGTTCAGATTTTTTGCTCATCAACAGCACCAAAGAAAACTTTTGGCTTCCTCTCTGAACACATGCTGAACTTCGCAAATTGTTCAACAGAATTCGTCTCTGAGGACGATAGTTGACAGAGTACTACTGTGGCTCCGTAATCATATGTAGGTAAGCAACAATAGAAAATCACAAAGATAGCAAAGCACTCTAGAAAAAACGGTGTCAAAATAACAGCACAGCGAGTGGCGTGAAATGTGTTTTGAAGAAGGACAATGAATCGAACCCAAGTCATCAAGTATCTTCGTCCACACAGAGTGAGCCACTCCAATACAGTGATTCCCTGCGTCGAGCGTTCCAATTCAACAAGCCATTCAATCCACAAAACCAATCAGCGGCCTAAAAAGAAATTGCGGTGTAGGGATATCGTTACGCGCGCTGTCGAGAAGTTATTGAGTTCGAAACAATTAGGTAACCTTCGAACCAAGAAAAGACAGCGAGCGATTGAAAAGCGCTGGGAAACAGCTACAAAAAACACGGCAGTGATACTCACCTGGTCTTCAGTAGACAGACAAGGTACTGGATAGGGTGAACCAGTAACCGAAATGGAGTCTCCATCACGTATGAGATTGGATGCTCGAGAACGCCCATCGAAAGAAAAGTGAGCCAATTTACACCGAGCAGTCGAATTGATGCAAATCTCGAGGCGCACGGTCATCGGAAGAACTATCGCTCTTGAACTCAGCGTCAGCGAATTAATCGGAGTTAGTAGGAAGGCTGGTACACATGGATGAAGTAGACTGGCACCGGTTGCCATTGAGTACGCAGTGCTCCCAGTCGGTGTGCTCACGATCAACCCTGAATCACAAAACGATAAGATGCCTAGGCCACACAAATACTCAGCGATATGACTGACATCCTCACAATGAACCTTGAATTCAAGAAGAGTCTAAACATGTCCCCAGCTCACATTGTCAGTTGGGCAGGAGCACTGCCATTGTGGTACCACACGACAAAACTTGCTGGGATGCAATAGCTTTAAAAGTACCTCAACTGAGCCCAAATCACCAGTAAGGCATTGTATCAATCGGTTGAATAAATACAGGTATCAGGATAAGTACCTGCAGCAAATCATCCAATGACTCAATTTCAATGTCAGTCTATTAGCTATAAATCATGTACCATAGACACACTGGTTCCAGCTGCTACCGTTTCATAGGAAGACGGGAGTGTGGGACGTACAACCAAGCATTGGAGGCGAAGGCATGTTCAGGTTATTCGGAAATTGGGTAGCCACGCACTGAAGGCGATAGCTTTGATGCACGAGCGCCACTGACTGCGCGATTGGGTCTTTTCTGTCAATGACATCAACAATTGGTGATTGAGTCCCGGGATCCCCACCCAAGGAGGCGGCAGTTGCCCACCCGACTAAGTTTACTGGTTAGTGCTTCGTTGCCGGTGATTCCCAAAATATGCTGTTGAGGTGATCATAACGACCAGAAATATTATGACACCAATGATAATGAAATACCACGGTGGGAAACCCTTCAAGACTAGCCAGAAAGGAACGCACTACTAAAGTGAACTTCCAGTCACTTCCAGATACCGAGAAGCCTCAACAAAAATGTTAATAGATTCCACTCTCTCTCTGAACAGATCTACCTGCGCCATGATATAAGATATCAGAATGTTTGTTAGAGGAAATATTACTTTATATGTATGGTCCTACTGGGAAAGCAGAAAATGGTGCTATACTTACCGTCCCCCTCGAAGTGAGTTACCGGCTTTCCGTTGACTTTCACCAGGAGATTACAAGGGCACGGGGACAGACCACGATCAACCACAAGTTCGTTGAGGAACTGTTAAACGTGTACAAAACACAATGATTAGAGCCAAAATCGGTTAAAGGCACAATTAATAAACAAAGTTATGTTGCGTACCCGTATTGATAAGTACGGATGAGGACATGGGTGGTTGGATTAATTCTGGACGAAAAGCACTCAACTCAGATGCAGAAATATCGATTCGAAGAGACCAATGGCTGAGTTCACACACGCTTTTGTTGCCAACCAAGGAGGCGAACACTTTTGACAACGACTATTTACACTCCAGATGTCATATCAGCGAAGGCGTCACATGATGAAGTGTTGACACGGCATGCTGAGTGGAAACCTACGTTTAGAAGCCACCCAGGCAAAAAAATATCTGCACAACTTAACTCAGCACTCTAGTACAGATGCGAATAAAACATTACACTGAAGCAAACTTGAATTCGGTCCCCAGAGTAGATAAAACATCTAAACGTCCTGCAACATGACTTGCACGATTAACCCGAAAACATGATACATTTGGGATGCATGCACTTTGCCCAAGTAAGGGAAAGAGAATATACGAATGGTAGAGGTCACTCATCAGATCACGCGTCACAAACACTCAAACCACGTGACAATTCCTGTCATACTTGCAACCTTGGCCGACAACTTGTACACTACGAATCCCCATCCATTTTTGTTTACGCGGCTACCACTTACGTAACGCGCCAGACTCACGAACTTCAGCACATCAGGTTGTATCAAGCATCAAATACGAAGAGACACCCCTCTCTTTACACGATAAATAGGCATACAATTAGACTCAACACACACTCGTACAGGACAGAAAGTCAACAGAGCGCCGCAAGTCTCCACAGACAACTACGGAACACACGTAGCAGCTGTACTGCAGAGAAGACATGTCCCGCGTCCGGAACTTCACTCAGGAACTCTCAACAAGTGTCTTCAAACGATAAGTCACTTTTTGGCTTATTCCACTTCTCGAATTGTAATTGAAGGCATAAAAACATGTCTGAATCTCACCCACTTCGTCTTTGACTCAGTGGTTTATACTCAAGAACAAGGTCTAGCAATGGGATCTCCAATATCCCCGGTTTTGGCAAATATATTTATGGAAGAATTTGAACAGAGAGCTTTAGCCGGATTCCCATACCCACCAAAGATATTCTGGCAGTATGTAGATGACACTTTCGTCGTCATGAAACGGGACAAGGTTAATGAGTCTTACAACTATCTCAATGAACTGAGTCCACAGATCAAATTTAGTACGGAGATGGAGTCAACATCGGGTAAACTGGCCTTCTTAGACTACGTGACACAAGGTTGAGGGGAGAATAAAGACCACGGTGTATGAGAAGCCAACCGACACTGGGGCAGTTTTGAACTACTCGTCTGCCCATCCGAAGTCGGTGTTCGCCAATATTGCCTCATCAATGTTTAGGCGTGTAAGGGCCCTGTG